TTGGAAATAATTATACATACAATGGACTCCGGACAAGTTGCGTTCCTCTAAGTCTTCCTGCCAATATGACCAAGTTGCAAAAACAAGGATAAACAACTTCAATATGGTATATTGTATCCATTATATATGCATTTATATACATATATATATATATCATCTCAGGTCTGGTGAATTAAAATCATTTTTTGTGCTGAACACTCTCGATGTGAGTTGATAAACATTTCGCTTTGATCCATCTGAGTAGGGGCAGTTCGGGCAAAGGACCAAAAAATTGAACCAAAATATCAGTCAAGGATACCGTTTGAATGGTAGAGTTCGCCACTGTTCTCATGTATTTCACTCAATCCCCATAATATATATCCATTATATATGCATGTATATACACGACTTGGAGTAAAAATAAGATCATCTCAGGTCTAGTAAATTAAAATCATTTTTTGTGCTGAACACTCACCATCGAAGCTATTTGCCAGTGAGTTGATGAAGATTTCGCTTTGGTCCATCTGAATAGAGGCAGTTCGAGCATAAGACAAACAAATTGAACCAAAATATCAGTCAAGGATACCGTTTGAATGGTGAAGTTCGCCACTGTTCTCATGAACCCGGCTTCCAGTTTGGTGAGGCTAAAAGCCTTTCAATTATAACTTAGCGGTATTCTGGTAACTCTACTCCTCTAGGATGCTATTGCTATTTGGAGTCCCTCTCTTGCGTTTAGTCTGTTGACACATAAACATTGGGCGTCTCTTCGGGGCTGGTTGACTCTTCAAATAAACGAATAACTTGGCCTGAAAGTGGGTTTGAGGCCTTATTGGTAGGCGAGGCACGAAGAAATGCCACGGAATCGCAGCATACTGCCAGTGCAGTTTGCATTATCATGTCCCCTTAAAATGGTATCTTTTACGATCTGTACTGCTTTTAGGGGTGCATTTTACCCCCCCCCCATAGCCCAGGGGTCTGAACCCGATAATTTCTCGTCAAAAGGCACTCACATAATGCTCTTGACGATGGGAATTTATGATGACCAACTTTCCACGTGAAGTCTAGGCTGAAGAAAAGCGGTAAAATGTCCTTTCATGAGGCCTAATCATTCAATTATGACTTCAGATTTACTGGTAGTCTCGGCAAAATTTTATTGTGATTATAACTGACACTGTCGATGGCTGTGGTTACTGCAAATTGGCCTAATTGAAATTCCCAGCATAATTGTGATTTGCAAGTCACATCGGCCTCGTGACCCAATGGCAAACGTGGATGTGTGACTGAGTTTTAACGTGTTCACACAACTCGGTCTCGAATCCTGTCGGGGGCGCTGCTGAGGTATGGACGATGTTCAGACTGCAGTCGAGTCGGACTGAAAAGCTGTTTGGTTAGCAAAGCTGAGTAAAATTCGGTGGAAACTTCAAATGCCCTCTTGACCAACCTAGGCTTACTCAAGATCCACAGTTTGCCTCGAAGCATGCTAATTAGGAATATAAATCCACCACTTTCGGTAACGAAACTATCCACATCTATTTTTTTTGTTATTTCTGCAATTCTGAAACAAGTCAACACGAGTTTGTAGGCGACCCATGAGATAATCAATAAGGCACCATTCTATTTTCCTTTAACGGAGTTACCCTTTGCGTAATTTTTTTAAGTTTTCTCTCATGGCAGGATACAATTCGTCGTCTGCTCTATGAGTTGGCCGATATGGGCGTTAACCATGACTTTGACCAATGAGATAAAACGAATCGAGAAAATGTGACTGGGGACGGATAAAGGAAGGAAGTCATGACAAAGAGGCGATGAATAGAGAGATAGAGAGAGAGAGAGAGAGAGAATACATCCGGCGAAAAATGTCAAGTAACAATCCGTTTAAGGAGTCATACGTGTCATATGTGGATGAAAGCAGGTACATGTCTATAAACTTCATCGGACAGTGCTTTTAGCTTTTGTAGAATTGTTGTACTCTTGGACTCAGGTACCCTTTGGAGCTGAGTATGGCCAGAGGTTGTTAGCGCAACGACAAGGAAGCTAGAGAGCGTAGAAGGCATATGAGATGATAAAGAAGTGATAAAGGTGCATAAAAGGTGAGAATACTACTGCACCAATGTCCTGGGCCCACTAGTTACTGACCCATGCTAAAACTATTATTTCAACATGTTGTCCATCAACAGCACGACCAATAAACCATGTAGACGGTAAAAGCGTTTTCAAATTCCTCAACCAATTCGGTCAACCGGAAACGGAAATTAATTGTCGTCACGTCTGGATTGT